GCCAAAGCAATATTGAGGAAGAAAACCAAAGCGGGAGGCATCACAATCCCAGACTTTAGCCTCTACTACAAAGCTGTAATCATCAAGACAGTATGGTATTGGCACAAAAACAGACACATAGACCAATAGAATAGAACAGAAACCCCAGAATTACACCCACAAAAGTATGGCCAACTCATCTTTGACAAAGCAGGAAAGAACATCCAATGGAAAAAAGACAGTCTCTTTAACAAATGGTGCCGGGAGAACTGGACAGCAACATGCAGAAGGATGGAACTAGACCACTTTCTCAGACCATTCACCAAAATAAACTCAAAATGGATAAAGGACCTGAATGTGATCTGCTCCTTTAAAACATACAAAGAATTAATTTTCTTGTACTTTAGAGTACCTTATAAGATGTGTTCCCCAAATCATTTTTAGCAATTATTTTCTCATTTACATCTAACTTACCATAATTATATGCTCAGCTATTCTTTATTGGGACTTAATTTTTTGAAGAGTATGTTTTTCTCCCTTTGTAACTTTTTAAATTAATAAGTAGTTTGCAGTACGTTGTCAATATTTATTTCCTTAGGTTTCAGTTGAGATGTTTAAAAAGAAAAGGATATTTTGAAATAATTTCTGGACTGCTCATAAATACTGGCCTTTTTGGGGAGAGTTACTTTTCTTCCTTTCAGTGAATTGTAGGGGTGCCTGGGTGGCTCAGGCGGTTGAGCGTCCGACTTTGGCTCAGGTCACGATCTTGCGGTCCGTGGGTTCGAGCCCCGCGTCGGGCTCTGTGCTGACAGCTTGGAGCCTGGGCCTGTTTCAGATTCTGTGTCTCCCTATCTCTCTGCTCCTCCCCTGTTCACGCTCTCTCTCTCAAAAATAAATAAACATTAAAAAAAAATTTTTTTAATGAATTGTAGGATTTTCCCAGGTTGATTTTTTTTTTTTTTTATACGTACATGGTAGTCAGATAATATCAGTAATGAATGTTCTGTACTGAGTATTCAATTTGTTTTTAATGGTTGTGTGTCCAAATCATATGGCAACCCTAAGTATAGTCAATGAAGCAACAGCAGTAATAAATATTCTATAGTGTTATGAAATCAGAGGACTGCCAGTGTCGAGATTATATAAAATTTAATTGTGTGTACAAGGAGACCAAATTCAGGTAATGAAAAAGTTGTAGGTGTTTTGAAATAATGTCTGTTGTGTATTTAAGTAAATCTAAATATTTTTAGTTAAAAATTATTATTTATTGGGGCGCCTGGGTGGCTCAGTCGGTGAAACATCCGACTTCAGCTCGGGTCATGATCTCATAGTTCGTGAGTTTGAGCCCCATGTTGGGCTCTGTGCTGACAGCTCGGAGCCTGGAGCCTGCTTCGGATTCTGTGTCTCCCTCTCTCTCTTCCCTTCCTCTGCTCGTGCTCTGTCTCTCAAAAATGAATAAACGTTAAAAAAAAATTTAGCAATTATTTATTTCTAATGTAGTAGATTACTAACAGTGTGTGAACTTCTTCAGGTCCAGTCTTCAGTGGCTGTTGGAACTCCAGATTATATCTCTCCTGAAATCCTTCAAGCCATGGAAGACGGGAAAGGCAGATATGGACCTGAGTGTGACTGGTGGTCTTTGGGCGTCTGTATGTACGAAATGCTTTATGGAGAAACACCATTTTATGCAGAATCTCTGGTGGAGACATATGGAAAAATTATGAATCATAAAGTTAGTATATTTCACTTTTTTCAACAACTGAATGTGGTAAATAATACATGTAATAAATTTAAAGTAATGTGATATTTAAAAAGAAAATATTTTCTAAGAACAGTGAACAGTTGAATTTCTGTACTAATAGGGAACATGACTAAACATGAATAATCAAAATCCATAAATTAGACGTAAGATTATTAGCTCTCCCTTTGCCTGTATTTTATTAGAAATGCTAATAAATAGGAAATTAAGGGGCGCCTGGGTGGCTCAGTCGGTTCAGTGTCCAACTTCGGCTCAGGTCACGATCTCACAGTTCGTGGGTTCGAGCCCCGCGTCAGGCTCTATGCTGACAGCTCAGAGCCTGGAGCCTGTTTCAGATTCTGTGTCTCCCTCTCTCTCTGCCCCTCCCCTGTTCCCGCTCTGTCTCTGTCTCAAGAATAAATAAATATTAAAAAAAAAATTTTTTTTTAAATAGGAAATTAAATGGTTTCATCAGTAGAATAACAAAGATCGTAAACAGATAATTTGTATCCTTAATACTATAAGTACATTAATAACTAGAATGCATTTAAAAAATTCTCATCCTTGGCAGTAATAACACAAAATGCAAATCAAAATAAAAATGAGCTATTTGTTTTCTCACCTGGCAAAGATGAAAAATTATACTCTGTACTGTAAATAACTCAGTGAGATGAATGTTGTTAGATGTTGTTGATAGGAATATAAATTGACGTAGCCTTTCTGTCAACAGGTTTATAAGTACGCATCTAGAGCCTTAAAAACGGTTGAACTTTGGGGGGGCCTGGGTGGCTCAGTTGGTTAAGTGTCCAACTCTTGGTTTCGGCTCAGGTCACGATCGCATAGTTCGTGAGTTCAAGCCCCACATCGGGCTGTGCGCTGACGGTGCAGAGCTTCTTGGGATTCTCTGTCTCCCTGTCTCTCTGCCCCTCCCCTGCTCGCTGGCTCGCTCACAATAAATGAATAACTTAAAAATTTTTTTTTAAATGATAGAACTTTGGATTGAGCAACTTGAGTTTTAGGACTCTGCCCTAAAGGAAACATTCAGTTCAACCAAGATGTAGATACAGGGATACCTCTTCCAGTCTTGTTTATGATCAAAGCAGTGGAAACAATCCAGATTCACCACAGGGACAAATGAATAGAACCTTATTAACCCATTTAGTACCAAGTGAAATAGAAATAAATTATAAGAAGTTGTTTCTGGTTGATTGGTTTCAGCAGAGCATGAGCAGTTGCAAAAATCTGGAATAGGAATATCCCATAAAAGGAGTGACGATCTGTTCTTCTTAGTTGATCTGGTGAAACAGTTACAATTAGTTGACTTTGCTGTGTAGTTGATGCTTTTCCAGAGAGTCGACGTTTCCTGTAGAGTTGGCGCTCTGGTACCTGGCTGTGAAGGTAACCTGCTAAAGTAGTTAGGAAGAGTGGACAGACAGGGAAGGGCTACGCAGTTGTAATTAGCGCGTCGAGCATTTCGGAGAGACACCATTGTCTGTGACATGGCAGGCCAGAGCGTGGGTTCCGGAGTTGGGCCGCTCCACCCAAGCCCGTCGTATGACTGGGAGTGAACTCCCTGGGCCTTTGTTTCCTCCTCTGTGCAGTTGGGATAAGAGAGGTGCCTGCCTTCGACCCCCACTATGAGGACTCACCAGGTGGGTGTGTAGAGCACGTCATGGTGTCAAGTACACGTTCCGTTCTTTCCAAATATCTGTTATCGTTACTCAGCCCTTCATTCGCGACTTATCCGAACGTTACCCGTCACATACGCTCTCCTGAAAGGTTGAGTCAGACTCTACTTTTAATAAGTTCTCTTCATTCCGACAGCAGAGTGAGGTACGTTGGCATTTGATTTTTTCTTCTTCCTGCAGTGTGTGCATGACTGAGTCACACTTAAAATGACAAGTTCCTTTAGGAAAATTCTCTGTTCTCACCCATCCCTGGATCTCCTGTAGTATGAGTACTTGGTAGCAGTGAACACTTATTAGACATTTTTAAGAGAAAGCGCATCTTGAAAAACGAATGAATGTTCATCAGCCTACTTAGGGAGTTAAACACTGGTTTCTATTTTGTGTCTGTTTTTCAGGAGAGGTTTCAGTTTCCAGCTCAAGTGACCGACGTGTCTGAAAATGCTAAGGATCTTATTCGAAGGCTCATTTGCAGCAGAGAACACCGACTGGGTCAGAACGGCATAGAAGACTTTAAGAAACACCCCTTTTTCAATGGAATCGATTGGGATAATATTCGAAACTGTGAAGCACCTTATATTCCAGAAGTTAGTAGCCCCACAGATACATCCAATTTTGATGTGGATGATGATTGTTTAAAGAACTCTGTAAGTATGACTCTGTGAAGGGCTTCTGTCTCTTTCTTTTTAACATGGATATAAAGCAGTTTCATGGGCCTCCTCATCAATTACCAGTCAGACCGTTATCATGGCTTCTAGTATTTGTTCTCCCAGACGTGAAGCGATTAAGAGAGTCCACTGAGGTGAACATGTTTATTCATGACAAGGAGCAGAATTCAGCTTCACGATTTACTCATTAGGTCAGTGATGCCTTAGGTTTCCGAGGAAGGGGAGAAATTAGCTGCTTAGAAAAGTGGACTCATGATGGCAGAGTGAGGAGGTTGGCCAATCTCTCCTTCAAGAGCGCCATGGTACTGGACCATTGCGGGGCTTGACAAATCACCCGGGGTAAATAAATTGAGAAGCATTTATTCATAAGAACCTGAACTTTGGTTAACAAGCGCCCCCACCGCCTTCCATCAGCTTGGTTGGGGCCGTCGAACGTTGGCAGGAAGCTGCTTCTGCTGATGCCATTGGGAGAGCTGCCCATGCCCGGTGGTGGTGCCTTGAGAGATAGCAAAGTTGTGGGGAAAGAAGGGGGTGGAAATCTACGGCCTGCCTGTCCTGAGGTCCCGGCCTTACCTGGGGTGGTGGCAGACCGACAGGGTAGCCAGGCCTTCAACCACCTGGGGCTTACGGGCCTGTTAGGTCCTCAACCCCTTCTCCAAACCTTTAGGTTACATAGGTGCAATTTAGGACAAGAAGAATGCATGATTTTATGGTTTTTGTCTGGTTAGTCTTTTTTTTTTTTTTTTTTAAGTTTATTTTGAGAGAGAGAGAGACGGAGAGGGAGAGAGAACACAAGTGGGGGAGGCGCAGAGAGAGGGAGAGAGAAAGAGAGAGAGAGCGAGAAAGGGAGAGAGAATCCCAAGCAGGCTCCACACCATCACTGTGGAGCCCAGATGTGGAGCTCGAACTCACAGAGCCGTGAGATCATGACCCCAGCTGAAATCAAGAGTCGGCCACTTAACTGACTGAGCCACCCGGGGGCCCTGTCTTCTTAAATTTGAACTTTATTTTTTATTCCACTGTTTTATTTCTTATGGTTTCAATTCTACACTAAGAATTTTTATATTAATTTTATGTCACTTTTCACTCTTCAGTAAGTAGCATATGCAAGGCAGTTAAGAACTTCTTATGCTTCCCTCTCGGGACTTTCCTCATCAGTTTCTTTCTTATTATAGGAGTTGTATTTACCATTAACAGAAATTTGAGTCCTTCCAAATTCGATACGTGGTACAGTCGATTCTGATCATGGTAGTTACATGTTCAACTAGGTTTCTGTGTACCCTGTGTTAGTGAACCGGGGAAACTCCTAGGGGAAACTCACGGTTAGGTTCTTGTGAGCCTCTGGTCTTTTGATCAGCCAGTCAATACATAACCTTGTTTTATGTATGTTTCTATTTAAAGTCACTTTATTTCATGTATACTGTTGATTGATGAAGTTCGAATTCACAGCCAGCGGCCATGTAACTCGCGCCCGAACAGAGCTTGTCTAACGCACCTACTTCTTCGTAGGGCACGCCACAGCCGCCTTGCTTAGGAGGGCCGGATGGCTCTTGGGCCCTGTGCCTGCAGGGCAGAAAACTGTGAAAGACATGGCACACGTAGGCCCCGGAAAGAGCACGGGTTGGTAGTATCTCAGCTGACCCAGGAAGGCAGAACGCCTCCCTGTCCAGTCCCAGCTGCGAACGTAGGCCCCGGGCAGCTCGGTTTTGTTTGTTTGTTTCTCTGCATACGTCCCTGAGCGAGTGCAGAAGGACTGTGAGTATCGATTTCGAGTCACAAATAATTCTTAGCGACAAGGCGGATCGGCAGGTATGAATACGTGATTAATGACTGGACTCTCGGCGTCAGCCTTTCAGTCTCGATTTTCGTTTTTATTAGAATTTTATCGTACGTCACTACGCATCTGCACCAAACCAGATTGGGGTTTCTAAATCCAACGGGCCCGTATTTCCGCTTGACGTCTAATATGTGGATCGGCCTGCAGGTCACAGTCGCTTATTTCTTACCAGATGTTTTCTCGTCCCTTAGGAAACGATGCCCCCCCCCACACATACCGCCTTTTCTGGCCACCACCTGCCGTTTGTTGGTTTCACATACACTAGTAGCTGGTAAGTTTGAAAAGTTAACATACTTTGGACAGCTTAAAGCCCATTAAAATGAACTGAGGTTTTAAAATCTGTACAAGAAAGCCTTGAAAAAAAACAAAAAATTTCAATACAGGATGAAGCTACTGCTGGAAAAAGTTAAACACACGAGGACTTTAAGTGATTTTGGAGGAGAAAGGACAGTAGAGCTCAGAATCTTACTCTTAGCCACGGGGCACCAACTGGAAGAGTCCCTTGCTCTTGAGCAAATACACCCCGTGTGCCAGGCAGGCCCCGTCACCTTGGCCGTCTTCTCACAGACCGCCACTCTGCTGCCCACTGCCCGTTCCTCCTTACCCGGCTTAGGCTGAGTGCGATTGTAATCACTCGTGTGCCCCGTGACCCCTCGGCCGCCTCTTGCTCTGTCACATGGTTTCGCTAAGGTGACATCATCCTTACAGTCCCCGTTTCTGCCCGCACCTGTGCCGCTCAGGGTCCACAGAAAAACACCTGACCGCTCTTGCTGGTCCTTCCTTAAGTTCGTGGTTACCAACCTCCCGCGCCCCTCTTGCTGCCTGGAAAGTGCGCCGTGTTACCCTCTGTGCCCATTCTTCCGCTCCCCCGGGTAACTGTTTCGTGCTTTGTACTTTCCTCTGAAACCTCTGTCGCCGTGCTCTCACCTCGCAGTCTCGCCTCCTGTTTCATGGAGAGGTTGCGGCGGGTGGTTTCCACACGCTCCTTCACACGTGGACCACCTGCCTCCCTCTGGCCCCGGGCTCTCGTCTGTGCGGATGAACTGGGGGGGTTTCCGGGGCACTTGCCTGGCTGCCTCTCACCTCTCTGGCCACTCCTCTGTCTCTGGCCCTGTGCCCCAGCACTTAGTCTTGGGACCTTTCCCGCTTACGCTCTGGCACACTGCCAGAAATTTGCTGGTGTGTCCCCGGCAGAGACCTCTCCACTCTCTTCTACTTAGAATCTCTCAACCACCCGCTTCACGTGTTTCTAATGTCGTCTCTTGGATTTCTCTGAACGCGTCTGGTCCTGCCAGAAGTCACAGTGTATCGCCCCTCCGTTCAGGACCAGCCCCCACTGTCCTCCCAAGCCCAGTGCCTTCGTATCTTAATCCAAACCAAACTTCTCACAAGGCCCTGCACGACTGGCTTCCTTTATCTTTCTGTTTCTCCCTACTCTGGACCTTGCTTACTCGACTCCAGCCACACACATCTCCTTTCTGGCCTGTGAATGTGCCAGACACGCTCTCGCCTCAGAGCTTTTGCCCTTCTGTTCCATCTGCCTGGAATGCTGATTCCCCTGTGGCTCCGTTGGCTGGTCCCCTTCCTCGCTCTGGACTTTCTTCCGAGTTCCTTTCTGAGTGATAGCTGCCTGGCCACTTTGTCTAGATTTTTATTTCCTCCCCATTAATGCTCGACACCCCCCCCCCCCACACACACACTCCTTCCCTGCTTTGTCTCTTATCAGGCAGCTCTAATGCCCTGAAGGTTTTACTCATTTGTCTGGTTTGTTTCTGTCCCTGGAAGCCAAGCTCTTCATGGGCAAGCATCTCTTTTGCTCGCTGTTGAATGTCCAACACTTTACATATTTTTAGCTAAGTATTAAAGAAAGCATTCACTTTTGCATCCAAATTTTGATAGCGAGGACATGATGTGTACTTTGGACTATGATTTCACTTGGGTGGTCACCTTGTTTTCAGCAAACTTCATTTTACGATTTGTGGTTATTTAAATTCAAGATAAGTGGGACGATTTTTCACTTAAAAATTCTTCTAAAAAGTCATTTGTGTTGAGTTGTGCAAAAAATGTGTTTTACAGTCACTGCAGAGATGGCCAACTGTAATTAGCTATTTAAATCCATGTTTTAAATGGACAGTTTCAAAAGGCTCTTTTTTCCTTCAGACTTTCTGTTTCTGTGTGAACTCACCTTGTTTTGTCTCCGCAGTGTTCTTTCTGATCGGAGCTGTTTACGAGTGACAGCCGGGCCCGCTTCCCTCGACCTGGATGTCAACGTTCAGAGGACTCTGGACAACAACTTGGCCACGGAAGCTTATGAGAGAAGAATTAAGCGCCTTGAGCAGGAAAAACTTGAACTTAGCAGAAAGCTTCAAGGTAAATATGTTTTAAAGATGGTGTTTTTCCCGTTTTTGAATTGGACTCACAGTTTTAGGAACTGTGTATTGTAAGCGTTGTTTTATCTTGAAAAGAAATTTATTTTATGAGGTGGAAAAAATCCAGTGGAAGAAAGTCACGCAGAATACAGTATGATACCATTTACGTAAACTCATGACATTAACAGTAAACCGCAAAACAGCCCTTGTTCCCCCGCGGGTGCGTATGTGTGCACATAGACACGTCTGGGGACAAGGAGCCCTTCGCATCCTAGCGTACCGCTCGGTGTGCCTACCATATTTCCTTATCCTAAAAAGGTCCTCTTCCTAGCACAGTTTCTCTGCGACATCGCTCCTGTCCTCATACTTGGTGATTTTGTTCTCTTTCTTTCTTTCTTTTTTCTTTCTTTCTTTCTTTCTTTCTTTCTTTCTTTCTTTCTTTCTTTCTTTCTTTCTTTCTTTCTTTCTCTGTCTATCTGTCTATTTTAAGTTTATGTATTTATTTTGAAAAAGAGAGAACGTGAGCAGGGGAGGGACGGAGAGAGAAGGAGAGAGAGAATCCCACGTAGAAGCCCATGCAGGGTTCAAACTCACGAACCGTGAGATCATGACCTGAGCCAACACCAGGAGTCAGATGCGTAACCGACTGAGCCACCCAGGCGCCCCAAATACTTGGTGACCTTAAAATGCATGTTGGCAGACCTCTTTAATATTCCGACTTCTTGGTCTCTTGATTGTTCATGTCCAATGATCTTGTCCTCCGCCCGATCTCATCCACTCCAGTCTTGAGACTCTGGCAGCTAAAATCTTTATTAATCTCCGGGGCGCCTGGGTGGCGCAGTCGGTTAAGCGTCCGACTTCAGCCAGGTCACGATCTCGCGGTCCGTGAGTTCGAGCCCCGCGTCGGGCTCTGGGCTGATGGCTCAGAGCCTGGAGCCTGTTTCCGATTCTGTGTCTCCCTCTCTCTCTGCCCCTCCCCCGTTCATGCTCTGTCTCTCTCTGTCCCAAAAATAAATAAACATTGAAAAAAAAAAATTAAAATCTTTATTAATCTCCATTTCAAGCAGACCCTGCGTGATCTCCTGTTCACGCTGGTCTGGTGAACCCCCTTTGGTGCCTCCAGTATGCCTTCAGTCCCGTCATTACCAATAAGCCTGTCACCTTGCCCCGTGGTCAGTCCTAGCCCCCTCATGGGGACCCCCACCTCTGTTGCTCCCTCTTCTACGTGTCCCTCCTTTGCCAGGACCCCAGCTCTGTTTAAATGCATTATGTCTGCTCCTGTGTGGCCGACGGTAACGTACCGGGGACACGTGGTGTGCTGACCGATCCCACTTCGAATTCACGAGTGCTGATGTCAAGTTGACTCTTGGCGAGTGCTGCCCGGTCCGCGTCTTCGCACCTGTCCGCATTTGACCCACCAGACCACGCCCCCTCCTGAGAGCTCTTTCTTTGGGCTCTGGGACGCTCGAATCTCCTGGTTTTCTGTTGAACCAGTGATTCCCAGTCTCGCTCCCTGATTTCTGCCCGGCGCTCTGACCTCCGAATGCCGGGGTCCTCCGAGTACCCCGTGAGCCGAGGCGCCCAGAACTGCAGCCTCCGAGGCACCTGGAAGCCCTGTCATTCTGTCACAGCTCACATCCTGCCGCCAGCGAGTCCGGTGGCTCTGCTGTCACCGAGGATCCCGACTCTGGGCATCGCTCGCTGCACGGCCCCCTCCCTGTTCACAGCACCACCGCTGCCCCCTCCCTTCCGTGACAGCCTTCTCGCTGGTTCCCCCACCTTCCGCGCCCCTCCTCCCCCACCTTCCCGATCCGTTTCCAACACAACAGCCAAGCAATCCTCTTAGAGCACAGTTTAGACCATTTTACCTCACGGCCTCTTCTCCACCCCGGGAGTTTTCCGTCTCACTCACTTTAACAGCCAGGCTCGCTGTCTGTGCCCGGCTTCTTCCTGCCTTTCTGACTTCACCTCCTAGGCCCCCCTACCCCCCTGCTGCCCCATCCTTCTTTCTGCCTCTAGCCACCCTGGGCTCCTTGGCTGTTCTTCCCACAGCTTGGCACATCCCCACCTCAGGGCCTTGGCATTAGTTGTTGCCCTGCCTGAAATTGTCTTCCTTTGGTGTTCACATGGCTCATTCCCTTACATCCTTCAGATTTCTACCTGAATATTACCTTTAAATGAGGCCTTTCCTGACTGCACTATTTGAAACCTAGTCTTTTTTTTTTTTTTTTTTAAATGTTTATTTGTTTTTGAGAGAGAGAGTGTGTGAGCAGGGGAGGGGCAGAGAGAGAGAAGGAGACACAGAGTCCGAATCAGGCTCCAGGCTCCGAGCTGTCAGCACAGAGCCCGACGCGGGACTTGAACCCAGGAACCGTGAGATCATGACCTGAGCCGAAGTCAGACGCTTAACTGACTGAGCCACCCAGGCGCCCCTGAAAGCTAATCTTGCTTTATCTTCAGCATTCACTATCCCTCTTCCCTGCTTTATTTTCTCCAAAATAAAGGACATAACATACAATTTATTTTACTTAACTCCTTTTGTGAATGAAGGAATGTAATCAAAAAGCTTGTAACTCTTAAGAGAGAAAGAGTCAAGTTTTTGCAATAATAAAATTTCGCTATTATACTTTTAGAGGCCCAGTAGAGAAAAACACTCCCCAGACATCAATAAAACAGACTGCTTTCTATTTTTTCAATAAGTTGCCAAGATCTCTGCATGTGGATTAATTCCTCTTCATCGTGCAAGTTGTTTTGACATTCTAATAAATATATTTGCCTCATGTCATTGTGTAAATTTAAGATGTCCAACTTACTAATTTGATACATTTATCTGTTGTAACGAGATTGCTGTCGTAGGACTGTTGAGTGCCTTCTCCCATGTCACATAATTACAGTGCAGCTCGGCTGTCTGTATTGACCACTCTGCTCCGTAGATCTTTATGATTTCTCTACCACTTGCTGTGAGTTTGTACCGTGAAATGACATCCCCCCACCCCTGCCCCGTCCCCGGTAACCAGTTTTACTCTTTGTTGTTCTATGAGCTTGACTGTTTCAGATCTCACATAGAAGTGATATCGTACAGCGTGTGTCCTTCTCCATCTGACTGCTTCACTCCGTGCAGTGCGCTCAGGGTCCGTCCATGTTGTCACACACGGCAGGACGTTTCCTTTCTCGTGGCCGAGTAATACTCCGTTGTGTACATATGCCCCATCGTTTTTAATCCGTTCATCCACCGATGCACCTTTAGGTTGTTTCCACGTCTTGGTTACTTGCAAAAGTTTTCTCCCATTCTGTAAGTCGCCTTTTCATTTTAGTAATTGTTTCTTTTGCTTCACGGAAGCTTCCGTGTTTGGGACAGTCCCATTTGTTAGTTTTTGTGTCTGTTGCGCGTGCTTTTGGTGTCATATGCAGAAAACCATTGCCAGGACCAGTGTCCAGGTGCTTCTTCTCTGTTCTCTTCTAGAAGACTTCTAGAAGTCTTATGCTGTCAGGTCTTTATGTTTAAGTCTTTGATCTATTTTGAGTTAATTTTTGTGAGTGGTGCAAGAGGGGCCCACTCTCGTTGTTCTGCACGTTTCCCCAGCACCATTTGTTGAAGAGACTGTCCTTTCCCCATTGGGTGTCCTTGGCTCCCTTGCAGAATTAGTTGACCATGTTTGCCACAATTTGATCGCAGGCTCTGTTTCGTTCTGTTGCTCTGCGTGTCTGCGTTTGTGCCCGTAATGTATTGTTTTTATTATCGTCGCTTTGTAGTGTGGTTTGAAAGTAGGAAGCGTGATACCTCTGACTTTGTTCTTTTTGTCAGGATCCCTCTGTCTTTGCAGTGTCTTTAGTGATGCCACAGCAGAGTTTAGGATTGTTTCTTCTGTTTCTGTGAAGAATCCCTTTGGTGTTTTGATGGATATTATGTTAAATCTGTACATGGCTTTGGGTAGTGTAAACATTCTAACAGTATTAATACTTGTGATCTATGAACGTGCAATGTCTTTCCAGTTGTTTGTGTCGTCTTCTGTTTCTCAGGAAACTCTTACATTTTCCATTGTACAGATCTTGTCCTTCTTGGTTAAAAGCGTTCCTGAGTAGCTTATTGTTTTTGATGCTGTTGTGAATGGGATGGTTTTCTTTACTTCTTTTTCAAATGTCTCATCATTACTGTAAAGGAATACAACAGGTTTATGTGTTGATTTTGCATCCTGCAACTTTGCTGAAATTGTTGATTAGTTCCAACTGTTATCTGGGTTTGCTCTTGGGGATTTTCTATATGTAAAATCATGTCAACAAATAGTAACAGTTTTACTTTTCTCTTTCTGATTTGCATGCCTTTTATTTCTTTGTCTTGCCTGATTGCTCTGACTAGCACTTCCAGGACTATATTGAATAGGAGTAGAGAGAGTGGACATCCTTGTCCTCTTCCTGATCTTAGAGGAAAAGCTCTCAGTTTTTCTCCATTGAGTATAATGCTAGTTGTCACTTTGTTGTAAATGGCCCTATTTTGTTATGTTACTTCTGTATCCAGTCTGTTAAGGTTTTTTATCACGAAAGGATGTTGCGTTTTGTCAGATGCTTTTTCTGTGTCTGTTGAGATGAATGTGTGATTTTTATCTTTTATTGAGGTGATCTGTGACGTTTATTGATTTGTGTATATTGGACCACCCTTGCATCCCAGAGATAAATCCCACTTTGTCGTGATATATAATCCTATGACTGTGTTCTTGACTTTTGCTTGCTAATATTTTGTTGAGAATTTTTACATCTATATTCATCAGAGATATTGGTCTATAGTTTTTTGTGGTCTTCTCTGGTTTTGGTATCAAGGCCTTCTAGAAAGAACTTGGAAATGTTCCCTCCTCCTCATTATTTTGAAGAGTTTGAGGAAGATTGTTAGTTTTTCTTAAATGTTCGGTAGAATTCACCGGTGAAGCTGTCAGTTCCTAGAGATTTCTGTGTTGGGAGGTTTTTGTTTACTGATTCAATCACATTATTCGTTACTGGTCTGTTCAT